CCGCCTCCCGCTGCCCTCTCGCGCAGGCCGCCCGCCGCCCCGAGGCGCCAAGGCCGCCCCCGAAGGCTGCGTGCAGCCCAAGGGGCCCATCGAGCAGGTCTACCAGGAGATCGCCATCCTCAAGAAGCTGGATCACCCCAACGTGGTGAAGCTGGTGGAGGTGAGCAGGGCCCCGGGGCGGCTGCCGGGGAGGCTCTGCCTCCAGGCGGGATCACTTCCCTCCGGACACGTGGGGATTTTGTAAGGGAGCCTCCTGTTCAGCATAGCGGAGCCTCACGCTGGCAGCGGCATCTTGGCTCCAGAAGGTTTTGCAGGTCCTGCATCTTGGACACATGGGTTTTTTTCCCCCTTTTTTGAAATCGTCTTTTTTTTCCCCCTTCCCTCCACCCAAAAGATAGAGAGAGCTTTTTCTTCACTGAAAGAGAAATATTCCGCTTCCTTTGAAGAACCAGAAAAGCTCAGATCAATTTGGGGAAGGAAATGATGTCCCCATGGTGTCTGCAGAGGGGCAAAAGCACAGGGGCTTGTCGGGGGGGACGAGAGCAGGTCAGCCCTGGGGTCCCCCACATTGCTCAGACCTGGCAGGTACAAAGCCACGTCTCAGTTGCAAGGACGTCCTTTTTGGAGGGGTTTTGTTGCATCTCCTTGTTGCTTGTGGCAGGTGCTGGATGATCCTGGCGAGGACCACCTGTACATGGGTAAGCGAGCCGCCCTGGTGGGGCATTTTCCTTGGCTTTGCAAATAAATCATGGCTTAGTTTTCCCAAGCGCAGATCAGCTCCTCCCCAAGTGTCTGTATTTGAAGTCACCTTAGGCACTGTCAAGCCTGAGCTTGCCACATGCATGGCTATCTTAGCTGGAGGCAGCAGCATCCCAAACCGCTTGTGCCAGGCACGAGATAGCACCTCCTGTCCATCAATGCACTAGTTTCTTAATTTAGCCATAAAAACAACGGCTTGTGTGCTGGGACGTGGCTTTTGTGGGAGCTCAAACACATTGAATGTTAATCACATTTCCTTTTCATTTCAGTGTTTGAACTGGTGAAGCAAGGGTAAGTACTGCCAGCTCCAGCCCCTTAAAGTGAAGCAGATTTGTACGTAGCAGATCTCCATCACCTGAAGCCAAACTCAAAGATAATTTTTGCTTTTTTGAGAATTTCTCTCCCCCGTCGTTTGCCCGGGTGCAGACGGTGCCGCGTGCCCGGGGCTGAGCGTCTCTCCCCCTGCTGCCTTTGCAGACCCGTGATGGAAATCCCCACCCTGAAACCTCTCACCGAAGACAAGGCTCGCTTCTACTTCCAGGATCTCATCAAGGGCATCGAATACTGTGAGTGTGGGGATCGGGGGGATCCGCGCGGCGCTCCGGCAGCGCCGTGCGCGCGGCTGAGCCCTGCTGCTTCCCTGCTGGCAGTGCACTACCAGAAGATCATCCACCGGGACATTAAACCCTCCAACCTCCTCGTCGGGGAAGACGGGCACGTCAAGATCGCCGACTTTGGCGTGAGCAACGAGTTCAAGGGTGCGGACGCCCTCCTCACCAACACAGTGGGCACGCCGGCGTTCATGGCGCCCGAGACGCTCTCGGAAACCCGGAAAATCTTCTCTGGGAAGGTATCAAGCTGCAGCGTGGGGATTGGGGAATAATCTTTGCTTGCACGGGCTCAGTCTCCCGTTCCCGACCTCACTGGGCTTCCTTCTTCCTTCTCCCCGCAGGCTCTGGACGTGTGGGCCATGGGCATCACGCTCTACTGCTTCGTGTTTGGGCAGGTAACGGGCGCTCGCTTGGCTGCGGCTGGGCAGCGAGCTGCCGCCCGCCCTCCTTAACAGCCGCTGCTGCTCTCACTCTTGGCTACTAGTGCCCTTTTATGGATGAGAGGATCCTGAGTTTGCACAATAAAATCAAGACCCAGACCTTGGAGTTCCCAGACCAGTAAGCACTGAAAGAATTCTGTCCGGGGGGGGATTCATCCAGGCAGGCTAGGGAGCGCCACATGGGCTGGCAACCTCCCCACAACTCTTCTCTGCACTCTTGTTCCTTCCCCAAGGCCAGAAGTTACAGACTTCTTGAAGGACTTGATTACACGGATGCTGGATAAAAACCCCGAATCGAGGATTTCGGTCCCAGAAATCAAGGTACTGGCGCGGCGCGCCGGCGTTAGCCGCGGCTCTGGCTCGTCGCGTTCCCCTCGCTCGGCTTGCTCGGGAGTCGCTGCGATCCCCGCAGGTTTAGGTGCTCCCTCCTGGCCCGGCCCCGCGGGTAAGTCCCGGCTCCTTCCCCCGTCCTGGACCTTCTCGGCTTTGGGACCTTTGGTGCCTACAGAAGCACGAGGCGGAAGGAAACCCCCTGAGCACAGTATTTCCTCTGCTACCAGGAAAGTACTGTGCAACAGCCTTTCGCAGGAGATTTCGGGTGCTCTGCCCCTGCCGGACCCTGGAAGGGGCAAGAAGCTGAGAAAATGGAGACAAAGGTAGGGGGAAAGGATGGCGGGGGACTTGCTGATCCTTTTGCCTCCCTCCTGCCGATGGCCAAGGACTCCAGGTTGTGCGGACCCGTCCCTCCCGGCCGAGGCTAGGGCTCGCTGCCTCCCACGTGCCACCGGACCGCGAACGGCCCGACCGCTTCATCCAGGGGGGCTCCCGCTTCCCACCGGGGAGGGTCGGGAGGGGCCCGGCGCTCCGGCACCGCCGCGCTCCCCGGCTTTGGCGAGGCCGTGCTGCGCTCGCCGCCGCGCTGGTCTGGTTTTAATTACGAAAAAGAGGAAATCGTCCCTGACAGGGCTGTGTTATTAATTGAAGTTGCACCCCTGGGCCACCAAGAACGGCGCGGAGCTGCTGCCCACGGAGGACGAGAACTGCACGCTGGTGGAGGTGACAGAGGAGGAGGTGGAGAACTCAGTCAAGCACATCCCCAGCCTGGCCACCGTGGTGAGCGCCGGGCAGCGAGGGGCTTGCGGGGACGGGCACAGAGGGCTCCTGCATATTTCCAACATTTGGGAACCTCTGGAGCAGAGGTGGTTCCCAGTTCCCAGGCTCTGTTCATTTGCCCTTGGGAAGGTCTCCCTCCAGGGCATCTCAGGCAACTGCAAACATGCAGTTGCAGAACACAGTAATTGGCAAAAAATGCTTCTCAGGGGAGAAAACCTGCCCACACTTCATTTTGTTCTGCTGCCCACCTCTCCTGTCTAATGTGACGGCATCTGCATGTTCAGCTGCTGCATTTGGGGTTTTCAGATGATGACAGAGGCTTCTGTATTAGCCTATTTTGTTTTCTTTTTCCCAAAGGAAACTTTCCCATGTTTTCAGTAGTATCCCACGTTAGCCAGGAATCAGGTTTAGATTTTGTTGCCCTTGAGGAAAAGGGGGTATCGGGTGAGCAGTCACCCCTGCCAACCACCAGCCTGTTCTTGCAGATCCTGGTTAAAACGATGATCAGGAAGAGGTCGTTCGGGAACCCCTTCGAGGGCAGCAAGCGGGAGGAGCGGTCGCTGTCCGCACCGGGGAACCTGCTGCCGTAAGTGTCCCCGTTACGGTCGCTCTTCTTGCGGTCTTGGCCGCTGCTGGGCCCCCACCGGTGTTTCCTGTGCTCTTGGCTTCTTCTCCCTTGGCCTCCCTGGGTTGCAGCAGGCTCTGCAGGTTGGAGGTACTGGAGGATGATGCAGTTTTGCCAGCCTGGCAAATCAGCCTGTGTCACTTCTGTGGTGAAGCTCAGGGCAAAGACTCCCCGCTGGGTTCTGGTTTCTGCTGCTGCCTTGCAGAGAGTGGGATGGAAATTGCTTGAATGGTTTCCTTCCCCAACACCTTTAATTCCCCTCAGGAGCCAAAACACTTGCTGGGTCCCTGTCCATTCGGGGTCTGTGCACTGTGCTGCAAGCAACACTCAGGGAAAGGGCTGCTGCTGGCTTCTGCTGCTGGCTCTCTTGCCTGCTTAGCAGCATGTTTATTTTATTAAAATGCCCCCCTCACAAGCTGAATTTGATCAACTTGGGTAGCTCAGCTGGACAGCACATTGGATCCTTGTCTTCTCCATGGCCAAAGCTTTAGTCTGTCCTAAAAAGCAAACAACTAAATCCTCCCAAATCCCCTCAAAGAGTGGATTTATACAAGGTATTTTCCCCACGGATGTTCACTGCGTTTAACGCATGTCTGTGCAGAGGGATTGAAGAAGACTTTAGGAAATCCAAAATTAGACTCATTTTCAGAGTTACTAAGCCAAGGTTAGGTGGTATCTTGGCCTTTGGTAGCTCACCTTGCCCAGGGGCAACTTGTCCTCAATGCACATGACTCCTGCTGCCTTCAGATTGTACTTGCAACCTGGGACTGCTTCCAAAATACACGATGAGGGTTGATTTACCTGTTTTCTCATCCATGTTCTGGACTGGAGCCCACAGTCTGACTGTGTGTTACTCTCCTGGACAGAGAAGATTACTCTTCTGGAGAGGGATCATGCTATTAATCAAACTGAAGTTAGCCAGTTCCCTTGACCCCTTCCCAGCCTCTCCAGTGCTGCAACCTCCAGAGAGGCTCTTTCTTGTGCATTAGCCTGATATCTGGAGTTATCCTTGTGCTCTGATTTCTCCCCAGTCTGTGCTGTCATTACTGTTTAGTACTGTGGGGCTTGAAGGATCAAGATTGCACATCCCAGCTAACTCTACTTGGTGTTCGGCCCTTTGCTCTGCCACGGCTCATAAAAACACTGTGTTGGGAACCCAAGTACAGCTTTCTGCTCTGTCCCTCCTCCCCGCGGCCCAGGCAAAGAATGGCTGGAAAGGAGACTGAAATGTTTTGTTTCCTCCTAAAGCAGGAAGCAAGGCAGTGAAGATCACCTGAAATGCAACGACCTGCCTAACGTGGGTGAGGACGAAGCTCTCTCGTGAGCGGCGCCGTCGGGTTCTGTTGAGCAGCGTGGTCGGGGCCGCGTGCCCGGCGTGCGGCCGAGGATGCCGGCGGCTAACAGAGCCTACAGCAAACGCAGCATGACGAGGCGCTATT